CCGTTCCCGCTGCCCCGGGGCCTCTGGGGGGAGCCGCTGCCGGCGACGGACACCGCGGTGGGGCTGGGAGCCCCACATTGAAACTGGGGCGTGGGGACGAAATCGGGGGGGCTCCCCAGTGCCTTTTGGGGAGTCTGTGTGTGACCCTGAGACCTCCTGCCTCCCTCCCTTCCCCTAACGCCCCTCGGCTTTCTCGCCTTCTTTGCTCTTTTCCTTTACAGCCTAGGAAGGGCCCTCGGGAGGCATCACGTCCAGTCCCCTAGGACCACGCCCCGTCTAAGCCCAGGGCGACACAACTTTGGAAACCCCGGAGGCCACAGTGACACACACAGCACACGCCGAGGGCCGCCACTTGAGTGTGGTTGCATGGATATGCAAATATACATGCAAATACATGCAAATTGCTTCTCTCCCACAATGCCCCGGCGCTCCCGGCACCTCCTCCCTGGGGCTAGACACGCCGACGCCCTGCACCCGCCTGCTCCCGCCACCCCGGGCGCTTGCATCTGCCAGCGCTCACCCCGCCTGGGAGACGCCGTGCTGTGTTCCCAGCGGAGGCCGTGTTGAGCCCCGTGTCAACCCACACTGCCCCACAGGCTGCAACCTGCGGCCCACAGGCCGTGTGTTGAGTAGCCCTGGTCTGGACCATCCCTGACAGGCATCTGTCTAGCCTGCTCTTAGATCTCAGAGATGGAGATTCCACAACCTCCCTAGGCAATTTATTCCAGTGCTCAACCACCCGGACAGGAAGTTTTTCCTGCTGTCCAAACTAAACCTCCCTGGCTGCAATTTAAGCCCATTGCTCCTTGTCCTGTCCTCAGAAACCAAGGAGAACAATTTTTCTCCTTCTAACACCCTTTCTGGGACTTGAAAGCTGCTCTCATGTCCCCTCTCCGTCGTCTCTTTTCCAGACTAAACAACCCCAATTCCTTCAGCCTCCCCTCGCAGCTCACGCTCCCTACACCAGTGTTTCTCAACCACTGGCACAAGTCCCCTTGGGGGTACTCGAGAGACGTCGGGGGATACGTCCACACAACTGAAATTTGGAGAAAAAGGAATTTTTGGTTTAAGTTTGACGGCGTTTTATTATTTTGGGACTTTTTACCCTTAAAAATGTCATCGCCCGCCCGGCTACGATGAAGTTGTTTAAACAAATGCGTTGCAAGGGTAGAAAAAAAATGGTGTGTTGGAAAACTGTAGGTGCTGGGGGTACTTAAAATTTTTTTTGTTTGTTTGGAGAAAGGGGTACTTTAAAAAAAAAGTTGAGCAACACTGGCCGAGAGCTTCCATCATTTTTGTTGCTCTTCTCTGGTCCGTCTCCTATTTCTCCACATCTTGGCCCCCTCCCTACCCTGCTCCTTCTCTCCCCCCCTCCTCTCACCAATCCGCAGGGTTTCTAGGAAGCCTCCTGCTTCCCGCCCCCCCAGCCTAGCAGCTTGCCCTCCCCCCGACCGGCAGTACCTTGCTCCAGGTCTGGGCTTCCGCGTCCTCCCAGCTCCTGAGCGCGAGGGCTTCGTACTGAGCCCTCACTTCCTCCACGAGGTGGCTCAGGTCGAGGTCGCATCGGTTATCGATCCCCAGGACCACGGAGATGTCCTGGATTTCCGACAGCAGCGCCTGGTGCTCCTAGAGCGATGGGAGAGGAGAACTGAGCGGATCTGGGGGAAGCAAAATAACCGGGGCCGCTCAGGCAGCCGGCAGGTGGGACGTTTTCAGAAGTCGGGGCTCCATGTTGACCCCCCACCCACACACACAGTGGAGTCGTTTGATTTGGAGGGTGCATTTAATTCACCCTCCCCCCGATGTCTGGACCGGGGCTGTGGGTTGGGCCTTTGCTGGGGTGTCAAATCCCCCAGATTCTGGGCAAAGAGTTTGTGGTCAGAGGCCTGCAGAAGGCGAGAGGGGGGGGAATAGGGCAGGTGCCGCAGGGCCCACGATTCGGCCCCAGTGATAAAGGGGGGTCCCCCCCCGCCACTGCTTCTACTATGTCTGGAGCTCTGGGTCTTTTAAATCCCCTCCGGACCCCTGCGGCTCCGAAGGCTGCAGAGTGCAGGGCCACACCATGCTCTGGGGAGCGTGGCAGGCTGGCAGCCTGAGGCCCCGCCTCTTTCTGCCAGAGGCCACGCCCCCTTTGCACAAGCCCCGCCCCTGCTTTGAGCGTGGAGCTGTCGGCACCCCGGCCCAGACACCAAGCACATCAAAGAATGAGATAAGCTCCTGGAGGAAAGTCTATCGATGGCCACGAGACAAGCTGATCGGGAGAGGTAACCCCATGCTCCCTGGGAGTGGATGGATCACTCTATTGCTCTCACCTGATCTTTGTCTCTGACTCATTTGGCACTGGCCATGCTGGAAGAGGGGCTATCGGGCTAGCCAGCCCAGTGGTTTGAGCCAGTGTGGCAATGCTTCTGGCTAGCTAGATTGTGCTACATACACGGTGCCCACAGACTTCATGGCTGACTCTGCACTGGACTGATCCTGGAACTGCCTGCCAACCCGACAGCTAGAACGCAGGTCCGCAGGCTGCACCCAAGGCCCCTGAGTGCTTCAGAAGAATCGCCGTTATGGCTTGACAATATAGGGGCTATGACACACGTCTGCAACCGACTTCAGTGGAATACATTTGGAATAAATGTATCCCTTTGGAATAAATCCCTGTGTTTTCAGCCTTTCTCCTCCATCAACGTTCTACTTCAAACTTCCGTAGCTCTTTGTCTCCAGGGATTTGCTAGAAGGTGAGTCCCAAATGACCGTGCGTTACCTCTCCTTGGTTGGGAGAGCAATGATTGGGACTGGAATGATGCTTCATCTGTCCCGGGGACAAGCCTTCCTCCGTGGAAGAGGATTTTAAGAGTATTTCTTTCCCACCGGGACTTGTTCCTAAGGGGTTGTTAGAGGAAAGGTTGATATGGGAGAACGCATGTCAATTTCATGTGCTGGGGCGGTTTCTATGCACGCCAGGGCCAATCCGGAGTAATTCAGTGATGTTCCTTGTGAGAACTGGGTTCGTAAGGGTGCACAGAATCAGACAGGTGGGGTTACAAGGCTGGGAAAAGGACGCAAGAGCAGAATCATGCGCAAGAAATTGGGATTTTTTTCATGTTTGAGTTTTGGGGGGATTTTCCTAGTTGTCAAGTCAAGCCCAAAGGAAAGATTTTTCCAGAACCAAGTTTTCTTGGTCAGTTTTTTCTCTCCCAGGAGAGTACTTTCTCCCAAGTTGAAATAGAGCTAGGTGCTATGATTCCCAAGTCTTACTTGCGCTAACCACTAGGCTACGTTCCCACAGCTGGGAACAGGACTTAGAAGTCCTGCCTCCCAAATCTCCCTCATGCTAGCCACTAATTCAGATTTACCAGAGCAGTAGCCCCTACAAAAAGATCAGTAAGTTATGATGGACGCTCCAGAAGATATTATAATGATGTTAAGGAGACTGTTCACTGCCAGTTTTGAATGGGACCAGGAATAAATGATGCACCACATATTTATAACAGGGTTAAGGTATGTCTATGGCACACATTTATCCCTGGTTCTCAAGCTTTGAGCCCAGATCTTTCTCTGTCCTGTCCATACACAAATCAGTCTGCTTTAGGTCAGCAATTTTTTCCATCCACGCACCGACTTTTTCCCCGTCCATGTGCGGAATAAAATTGTTGTCGGCACCAAGGAATGTGCACCACCAGTAGAAACAAAAAACCTAACTGTGAACACTCTGCTAATCAGCTAGACACGGTGAGAATTTCTCCCGAGTGGCCACACACACGCACAGCTTCCAGGACATGTTGGTCAGCAAGCATCCATGACCTGGGTCTCACGACCCTGCAAGGAGGATAGGTTAGAGCTCGAATCCTGCTGCGGCTCTGGTCCAAATTCAGTCCTCCTGCAGTGTGGACACAACTCTCCCTGAAGACTCATGTCAGAAGGCCTAACGCAGAGCAGTGTGGATGCATTAACAGGAGAGCCAGGTCCAGCGATTGTCAACCCAGCGATTGAGTGTGGGCCCCTAGGCACCATCTGGGAAACAACGAATCCACACACCTGGTCTTCTCAACCTGGGGGTACAGCACCGTGTAGACGTACCCTCCGAGACCTTCCCCGCTACGTCTCGCCAGAGGAGAAAGCTTTGTCCCCTTGGCCCCGGTCGCTTTGAAAAGCAGAGGCAAAGGGAGGGATCCGGGAGACAAGACCCTGCATGTCAAACAGCACCGCGAGTCTTCCCCTGGGAACAGTCAGCGCAACGGCCGGGCCAGGTGTGATTTCTTTGCACAGCGGGCGGGGGAAAGAAGGCGACAGGCTGCCAAAGTCAACAGCGCAAATCCCAGGAGAAATGAATGCCAGAGCAAGCGGGGAACGTGTGCGGACAGCGAGGGGGGCGGACTGCCAGGCCAGCGGGCGCTGGGCGTAGAATCACAGGATCCTAGCCCGGGAAGGGACCTCGAGAGTCCTCCCGGCAGGACCCAGCACCCGCTAGACCAGGGGTCACCAGCCAGTCGC